CTTCGTGGTCATCACAACAACATATAGTTTACCTAAGTCTACACATGTACCAGCTTCGTGGTCATCACAACAACATATAGTTTACCTAAGTCTACACATGTACCAGCTTCGTGGTCATCACAACAACATATAGTTTACCTAAGTCTACACATGTACCAGCTTCGTGGTCATCACAACAACATATAGTTTACCTAAGTCTACACATGTACCAGCTTCGTGGTCATCACAACAACATATAGTTTACCTAAGTCTACACATGTACCAGCTTCGTGGTCATCACAACAACATATAGTTTACCTAAGTCTACACATGTACCAGCTTCGTGGTCATCACAACAACATATAGTTTACCTAAGTCTACACATGTACCAGCTTCGTGGTCATCACAACAACATATAGTTTACCTAAGTCTACACATGTACCAGCTTCGTGGTCATCACAACAACATATAGTTTACCTAAGTCTACACATGTACCAGCTTCGTGGTCATCACAACAACATATAGTTTACCTAAGTCTACACATGTACCAGCTTCGTGGTCATCACAACAACATATAGTTTACCTAAGTCTACACATGTACCAGCTTCGTGGTCATCACAACAACATATAGTTTACCTAAGTCTACACATGTACCAGCTTCGTGGTCATCACAACAACATATAGTTTACCTAAGTCTACACATGTACCAGCTTCGTGGTCATCACAACAACATATAGTTTACCTAAGTCTACACATGTACCAGCTTCGTGGTCATCACAACAACATATAGTTTACCTAAGTCTACACATGTACCAGCTTCGTGGTCATCACAACAACATATAGTTTACCTAAGTCTACACATGTACCAGCTTCGTGGTCATCACAACAACATATAGTTTACCTAAGTCTACACATGTACCAGCTTCGTGGTCATCACAACAACATATAGTTTACCTAAGTCTACACATGTACCAGCTTCGTGGTCATCACAACAACATATAGTTTACCTAAGTCTACACATGTACCAGCTTCGTGGTCATCACAACAACATATAGTTTACCTAAGTCTACACATGTACCAGCTTCGTGGTCATCACAACAACATATAGTTTACCTAAGTCTACACATGTACCAGCTTCGTGGTCATCACAACAACATATAGTTTACCTAAGTCTACACATGTACCAGCTTCGTGGTCATCACAACAACATATAGTTTACCTAAGTCTACACATGTACCAGCTTCGTGGTCATCACAACAACATATAGTTTACCTAAGTCTACACATGTACCAGCTTCGTGGTCATCACAACAACATATAGTTTACCTAAGTCTACACATGTACCAGCTTCGTGGTCATCACAACAACATATAGTTTACCTAAGTCTACACATGTACCAGCTTCGTGGTCATCACAACAACATATAGTTTACCTAAGTCTACACATGTACCAGCTTCGTGGTCATCACAACAACATATAGTTTACCTAAGTCTACACATGTACCAGCTTCGTGGTCATCACAACAACATATAGTTTACCTAAGTCTACACATGTACCAGCTTCGTGGTCATCACAACAACATATAGTTTACCTAAGTCTACACATGTACCAGCTTCGTGGTCATCACAACAACATATAGTTTACCTAAGTCTACACATGTACCAGCTTCGTGGTCATCACAACAACATATAGTTTACCTAAGTCTACACATGTACCAGCTTCGTGGTCATCACAACAACATATAGTTTACCTAAGTCTACACATGTACCAGCTTCGTGGTCATCACAACAACATATAGTTTACCTAAGTCTACACATGTACCAGCTTCGTGGTCATCACAACAACATATAGTTTACCTAAGTCTACACATGTACCAGCTTCGTGGTCATCACAACAACATATAGTTTACCTAAGTCTACACATGTACCAGCTTCGTGGTCATCACAACAACATATAGTTTACCTAAGTCTACACATGTACCAGCTTCGTGGTCATCACAACAACATATAGTTTACCTAAGTCTACACATGTACCAGCTTCGTGGTCATCACAACAACATATAGTTTACCTAAGTCTACACATGTACCAGCTTCGTGGTCATCACAACAACATATAGTTTACCTAAGTCTACACATGTACCAGCTTCGTGGTCATCACAACAACATATAGTTTACCTAAGTCTACACATGTACCAGCTTCGTGGTCATCACAACAACATATAGTTTACCTAAGTCTACACATGTACCAGCTTCGTGGTCATCACAACAACATATAGTTTACCTAAGTCTACACATGTACCAGCTTCGTGGTCATCACAACAACATATAGTTTACCTAAGTCTACACATGTACCAGCTTCGTGGTCATCACAACAACATATAGTTTACCTAAGTCTACACATGTACCAGCTTCGTGGTCATCACAACAACATATAGTTTACCTAAGTCTACACATGTACCAGCTTCGTGGTCATCACAACAACATATAGTTTACCTAAGTCTACACATGTACCAGCTTCGTGGTCATCACAACAACATATAGTTTACCTAAGTCTACACATGTACCAGCTTCGTGGTCATCACAACAACATATAGTTTACCTAAGTCTACACATGTACCAGCTTCGTGGTCATCACAACAACATATAGTTTACCTAAGTCTACACATGTACCAGCTTCGTGGTCATCACAACAACATATAGTTTACCTAAGTCTACACATGTACCAGCTTCGTGGTCATCACAACAACATATAGTTTACCTAAGTCTACACATGTACCAGCTTCGTGGTCATCACAACAACATATAGTTTACCTAAGTCTACACATGTACCAGCTTCGTGGTCATCACAACAACATATAGTTTACCTAAGTCTACACATGTACCAGCTTCGTGGTCATCACAACAACATATAGTTTACCTAAGTCTACACATGTACCAGCTTCGTGGTCATCACAACAACATATAGTTTACCTAAGTCTACACATGTACCAGCTTCGTGGTCATCACAACAACATATAGTTTACCTAAGTCTACACATGTACCAGCTTCGTGGTCATCACAACAACATATAGTTTACCTAAGTCTACACATGTACCAGCTTCGTGGTCATCACAACAACATATAGTTTACCTAAGTCTACACATGTACCAGCTTCGTGGTCATCACAACAACATATAGTTTACCTAAGTCTACACATGTACCAGCTTCGTGGTCATCACAACAACATATAGTTTACCTAAGTCTACACATGTACCAGCTTCGTGGTCATCACAACAACATATAGTTTACCTAAGTCTACACATGTACCAGCTTCGTGGTCATCACAACAACATATAGTTTACCTAAGTCTACACATGTACCAGCTTCGTGGTCATCACAACAACATATAGTTTACCTAAGTCTACACATGTACCAGCTTCGTGGTCATCACAACAACATATAGTTTACCTAAGTCTACACATGTACCAGCTTCGTGGTCATCACAACAACATATAGTTTACCTAAGTCTACACATGTACCAGCTTCGTGGTCATCACAACAACATATAGTTTACCTAAGTCTACACATGTACCAGCTTCGTGGTCATCACAACAACATATAGTTTACCTAAGTCTACACATGTACCAGCTTCGTGGTCATCACAACAACATATAGTTTACCTAAGTCTACACATGTACCAGCTTCGTGGTCATCACAACAACATATAGTTTACCTAAGTCTACACATGTACCAGCTTCGTGGTCATCACAACAACATATAGTTTACCTAAGTCTACACATGTACCAGCTTCGTGGTCATCACAACAACATATAGTTTACCTAAGTCTACACATGTACCAGCTTCGTGGTCATCACAACAACATATAGTTTACCTAAGTCTACACATGTACCAGCTTCGTGGTCATCACAACAACATATAGTTTACCTAAGTCTACACATGTACCAGCTTCGTGGTCATCACAACAACATATAGTTTACCTAAGTCTACACATGTACCAGCTTCGTGGTCATCACAACAACATATAGTTTACCTAAGTCTACACATGTACCAGCTTCGTGGTCATCACAACAACATATAGTTTACCTAAGTCTACACATGTACCAGCTTCGTGGTCATCACAACAACATATAGTTTACCTAAGTCTACACATGTACCAGCTTCGTGGTCATCACAACAACATATAGTTTACCTAAGTCTACACATGTACCAGCTTCGTGGTCATCACAACAACATATAGTTTACCTAAGTCTACACATGTACCAGCTTCGTGGTCATCACAACAACATATAGTTTACCTAAGTCTACACATGTACCAGCTTCGTGGTCATCACAACAACATATAGTTTACCTAAGTCTACACATGTACCAGCTTCGTGGTCATCACAACAACATATAGTTTACCTAAGTCTACACATGTACCAGCTTCGTGGTCATCACAACAACATATAGTTTACCTAAGTCTACACATGTACCAGCTTCGTGGTCATCACAACAACATATAGTTTACCTAAGTCTACACATGTACCAGCTTCGTGGTCATCACAACAACATATAGTTTACCTAAGTCTACACATGTACCAGCTTCGTGGTCATCACAACAACATATAGTTTACCTAAGTCTACACATGTACCAGCTTCGTGGTCATCACAACAACATATAGTTTACCTAAGTCTACACATGTACCAGCCACAGTATTCGTAGCTCTCCAGTTACCAGTCTGGTCTCTATATGACCGATCTTTTAGAATTGTGAAGTTTTGCTTCCTTTTTGTGTAGAGGACATCAGAATAATGTGACAAGGTCGACTGCCATGCTATCATGTTCAGTGGCATAGTACATAAGTTGCCCTGAGTGGCCCCCTCATTTTCGGACACAATCACATGACTTAAGCTGTTGTAAGGATACATAATCCTGAACCAAAACAAATGTTTAGTGATAGAAAACGGTTCATTACGGTACATTACAAAACATAAGATTTTAACATGTGTAACCATATAACTTCTTAACTTTTGATGACAACTACCTTATCCTTCTTGTCCTGTCTGGCGTAGGGGAAGCATGGGATGACAGCCGAGACCCGACAAGCTGAGGCGATCTTACACGCATTGATCATGATGAGGAGTTCCATCAGCATGTCATTGACCTCATCACAGCCGCTCTGCACGATGTAAACATCCTCCCCTCTCACAGACTCGCCAATCTCCACACTGAAAACAGCCAACAAAATGAGTGGCAAAATCAAACAAAAGGACAAGAGGGTCTGTATAACTCACACAGATATTGACAAAACAATTAACATTACAAGTGTTCCCAGGGGTGTAAAAATCTGCTAGCCGACGCCCCGGGCTACCAGATTTTTAGGCTTGGGCTAGTGAAATTTAGCCCCAGTGACTTTTTTTAGGATGTCATAACAAAAGAAAGTATTTCTGTTCTATTCTATCATCATGAGTGAACCATTCAACATTTTTATATATAAATTCCTGGTAATTTTCACTATATTTATCGGAACACATGGAGTCATTCATGCCGGATAATGTATTCATTGTATTGATGATGCTTGCCTCTCACATGTGTGACAGTAGGCACTATTCACAACCTAAATAGCATTGAAAGTCTTACTAAACACCAAATTGGCCCTCTTTGTTGCAAATCATTCTCTTTTATTTGATTTAAGCATGTGGGGTACAGAAATAAAGTTCATCTCTCCAATGCCCCTTTCGCGTATCCAGTTCAACCAGTTGAAACGGTCATACCTCAGGAATATTCGGCACATGTAGATTGAGGGGTCCAGACATACCTGACCGAAACTAAAATGCTGACTATTGCTTTTTTGCGTTATTTCTTTCTCAAACAACGTCAAGCCACATGTAGTTTTTAAAATACGTTATGTAATTTTACTAATTCAGTGGGCACGTGAAAGAAGGGCATAATATTCTTGATACATTGTTATTTATTCTCTGAAACTGAATTTTTAGCTCTGCATTTAGAATGCTCCAAGTGCTTTCGTGAATCATGGAATATTGGAATATATTAGATCGGGATACCTGAATGCAACCCAAAAGTCGGCAAGTCGGCCCTGTTTGTTTTTGACGCTTTCTAAGACTCAAACTGGTATCCAAGCTGATTTTCAAAAAGAGTTAAAAAAAAGTTACAATAACCTTTTTAAAAGTCATTCAGTTATTAAATGTTAATAATATAATTGTTTTAAGGAAATTATATTCATCTGTGAATGAGATGTTAGATTGTGTGATCATGTTGTCAAGTCAATCCATTTTGTATTTGTCGGGCTAGCAGAATTTTGTTTTGGGCTAGAGTATTATTAGTGTCTCCTATAGCCCAGGTTAGTATCCTGAAAAATTTGTTTACACCCCTGGTTCCTCACTTCAAACTGTATATATGAATCCTGGGAAACACAAGTTTTTATTCCCTGCTTCCAAATTTAAGATGCTTCGTAGCAATGGTGGTCCACTTTTTGCTTCAAAAGACCATAACAACAATGTTTTAGGTATTTTTGGCAGATATAAAGTCTAAGGTTAGTTCAGTATAAAATGTTGGTGTTCTTTTTTGTATCAAGTAGCCCCTGCAAAGGAGAAAGAAAATCGAGGGGATGGGGTGAAGTTGAAAACAGGCAAAATATGATATCTTATTTAGTCATTTAGATGATTAAGATTTGAACAAATTACAAATATGGTCTGATAAGTGTCTTTAAATTCCACCCACAAAAATGTCAAGTACTTGCAATAAACAGGAGAGGCAGAAGGCAGTACTACTGTACATGAAGAGATCTCGGGAAGGAAGGATATTCTAGAAAACATCTCACAAGAAAAGGACATAGGGGTGATGGTTTGTTTGTTTGTGTTTAACGGCCCATCAACAACTGTGGTCATTTAGGGCCGTGGTGATTTATTTATTTATTTTATTCAACAAACATGAGAGTACCGAAGATAAAATCTGGGGTGATGGTAGACGAGTAACTTAATTTCTCGGATCATATACAGGAAGAAGTAAATAAAGCAAACAGCATATTGGGACTCGTTAGGAGATCATTCGTTTATTTGGATCGGATTTCTTTCAAACAACGTTTCAAGGCATTAGTAAGACCTCATCTAGAATATGCAGCCAGTGTATGGAATCCACATAAAATAAAGGATATTGATCATGAATGCATAGAAAAGGTACAAACGAGAGCCACAAAACTATTACCAGGATTGGAAGAGTTACCATACAGAGAGCGCTTGAAAAGGATAGGGATTCCAACCCTGGCATACCGGAGATTGAGAGGCGACATCATAAATGTTTTTAAAATAATGAACAACCAACATGACCAGAAGGTGAAAAAAAGGAATCTTCGACTTAGAACAAGAGGACATGCACAGTAAATCAGGAAAAAACATTGCAAGCATGATATTTTCGGAAATATTCATTTAGCTTTAGGGTTGTCGAAATCTCGAACTATATTAATACATCGCCAACGATTACGGACTTTGAAATTAATTTTGATACTCATTGGAAAAATCTTGAACTAAAATACAATCATTTGGCCATAAAAAAATCTCAGGAAATGACAATTAATGTAGAATATTTTCTAAATACCTTTAAAATATATTAAGATATGGATAAAGATGTAGAGTGTCTGCCTGCATCCATTTTATTTAGCCTATTTTATCCTGTTTTATGATTATGGAAATATTGGACCTCTAATTTTCTGTCATTCTGTGCAATCAATATACGAGGTATATATGATTATTTACACTCAATTAATCTCTATAATTAGATGTGATATATTCTTCAACCAATTTGTTTGCTATTGACATCTTTAACACATTTTAAATTTTGTTTCTGTTTGTCTATGTTTACGTCGTTGTTTGGCCCTAAATGACTCAAATTGTTGATGGGCGGTTAAACAATACAAAATACAAATACTTATGCAACATTATCATAAATTGATTGCAAAGCATTGTATTAATGAATTTCATTGAAATGACTTTCTATAAAATCATGAAATCGTGACAACATGTCTGACATGATAATTTATAAATATAGTACAGCCTCTGGAAAATCCCAAGTTATTGTTATAGAATTCCTATGTGGTTTTTTATGATCTATGTTGGCTATCCCTAGCAACACAATGGCACATCTGGACATTACTGCAAATGGAGGCAAAATAATGTAATTAGACTGATCATTGGTAGATTGTGACATAATTTTGTAAAAAGTCACGTTAATGAAATCAAATACTACAACTTGTCAACATGTATTTTTTCTAACAAGTTGTGTTACTGTAACATGACCTTGAATATCTTTAACTGGGAATGACAAATATAAGATATGCTACCATACAACCTTCTTTTAACTTTTAATAACTGACAACATAAATCGAAAGCGTTAGGGATTTTGTTGTACTGTATCAAAAATATGCCTAAATATTTTTAATAAAGATAATTACTGAAAGTTATACTGTAGAAATGATTTAAGTCAATATATACAGACTGTCATGCTTATGTAGTGAACATTCAACGGATACAAACAAATAAAGCAAAAAACCCTGTACTGGGCCTCCTGATCATGAGTGACTATTTCTCAAAATAGAACTTTAAAAAAATCGCACCAGCATTCTCCGTTGCTGAATTTTTTGGTGACTACTTTTCCTGGTTCTATACCAAGTCGGTCACAAATCTTTTGGGCAAGGTCCGTATGAGAGCTGCCACTGAACACTTTGATGTTTGGCATTCTCGCGTAGTTCCCTAAAGCTGACGATGGTCGCGTTGCAGGCATTCGTGCTCTAGGTTCGACATGTGGGGTAATATATAACTAACGTCACAGAAAAGCTTTGAATACTTGTATTAGTTCAAAGTGCCCTTGAAACATTCAGCTGAGGCAGAGAATCGGGTGATGACTCATATGAGACTTTATAATTTTTCTTCGATTCGCCAAATTTATAGACCAGGATGTGCTTTAATGTATTGAATCAAATAAAAGTATTACTTCTCAATTAGACAAACTCACTGAATAAGTAAGACAAGTCCAAAGAGTGCTATCGTTTTTGCGTATTATTTCACTTCCGCTATACCGCTCTAACCGGAAGTGGTCTATGTTGGCTCGGAGTATTCTGCTATCTATCACTACTCCACCATTACTTATCAATGGCAAACATAGCAATTCAACGAATTCAAAGAGAATTCAAAGAGGTTGTTAAAAGTGAAGAGGTGAGCGCATTATGAATATTTAAGACTAACTTTTTCGATTTAGTAATTGGTCTCTAAGTGGTAGCAAACAACAAGTTGATATCGCCCCCCCCCCCTTTTACAGGCCTGTACTTTCTTAACTTTTCTAGTGCTGCTAATATGGTGTACATATAGTTGATTAGTTATTTCATCCTTAATTAGTTATCAGCACGTTTATTATATGATATCTTAAATTCAGTACGCAGAGTAAAATTGTATGATCATATGCAAGTGAACGTTCTAACAATGGTTTCTGTCTGGACAGTTATTTAAAACAATATAGAAGTTCAGCTTATCAGCTACATGTCTTTATTAGAGAGCTCATGTATAATTTCATCTGTCTTATATGAATTCGGTGCCATCAAGGAATGCGAGATGTTTCGGGAACAAGTCGTTTCAGGAGTCCCGAAGACGTTTCGGGACATACACAAAATGTTTCTGGACTTAATCCTAAAGGACATAAAAATCACTCACAAATTATATTCCGCCTGTTTCATATTAAACCATGTATTTATTCATACAGGTAGCAAAATGCAGTATAAAAGTGGAACTATTAAATGACTCGTACACAGAGCTGAAGGGAGAGATTGCTGGTCCTCCAGATACTCCCTACGAAGGAGGCACATTTATCCTGGAAATCAAAATACCAGAAACCTACCCATTTAACCCTCCAAAGGTTGGTATTTAATCCTCCAAACATTTGGTACCCATTTGATTGTAATTGAAAAAAACAACCAGAAGGTTTAACTCATTCACCCCTGAAAACACATGTAAACTCTTCCAATTCAAAGGATGGAATAGTTCATTATGAAATTTCAGGGGTGAATGAGTTGAGCCTTTATAAGATCACCTAAGAAAGTTTATAACTTTATACTATCAGGCTTAAACACTCACTTTATTTCATTGAGAGACCACAAGTCTCTTTAAGGATAAAAGTTGGAGGGCCTCTTAAAATTCTGAGGACCATAATGAGTATGAATGTCAGATATATGTGATAGTTTAAAATGTTTTTCTGTACATACTTTTTGCCCTTGGCATATTTTCTAGATTTTATTCTCTGCAGAGAAATTGCTAGAAATTGCTGCTGATATCCAATTTCAAACCATCATGCAGGCATATAATTGGTATAAAAAACAAAAACAGGGGATCAAGGGTCTCTTCCCAAATTTTAAGGGCCTCATGATCAGCCCCCAGTTATCCATCATCAATTCATCCTAGTACAGTCTGCTGGGTGGATTCTAACTTTGATCTGGAGCATTGCATAAGCTAACTGGTTAGCCATTCCCCAATACAAGGCCTAATGGGAAATAAAGATGTTTTTTCTTAGAAGACTGATTAGGGGCTTTAATCTCAGCTTGTTTAGAGTGTCCTTAGGTCAGGGGATTTTACTACAAAGATTGATATGGAGTGTCTTAGGTCAAGGGAACTCGACCCTGGTATTTTCCTCAAAGTGGCTGAGGAGCCAATAGAGAATTGTTTTTTAAACCTACTCCATCAGTACTGGTAAAGGGAATTCAACCAGATATGATCTGAGGCATCCTGGGGTGTTTTACAATAAAACGAAGGGAAGAGGTACATAAGGGAACTTAGGATAATTGTTTACATTACAAGATACAACAACATAGAAGAATCTTTATTTAATGTCACATATATCAAACAGAGAAAGTCTACATCTTAAACTTCTATAATGTGGATGAAGGGAATTTAGTTAGTCTTGGGCATCCAGAAAAGGAAAATTCACATTTAAACAAAGGATATCCACATTTATGTGACCTTTATCAAACTTTTGAAAACCTTTTGTATCCCTATCAAAATAACAGTCATATCCAAATTAATTCGTGCATCAAATGTGTTTCATTTTTGTTGTTGATAGTTTACATGGAGTTCTTCATCAAAAAGAAATTTGACCAATGATCTATACAGTAATTCATTTATAACCTCTGTAGCTTCAGAGATATACAGTTTATTATTTAGAATCAGATTTTCAAACATTCTATTATATTGTATCAGAATAAGTTCAAAAATTCAAGCCTCTGTACACAGTAACCCCTTACCAGGGTCAAAGGTCAAACTTGACTACTTTTGAGGTAAAAAGCTTGTATACAACATATCTCAATAAGGCTATAGGGATCTCTGTGAGTCCCTGTTGTTTTTATGATAAATCATACCATTATAAGGTGTACAGGTGACAGTAACCATGTTTTGTTGTATTCTCGTTACAGGTGAAATTTCTGACCAGAATATGGCATCCTAACATAAGTTCTGTGACGGGAGCAATTTGTCTTGATATATTAAAAGATCAATGGTATGTTCATCTGAAACAAAGTGTGTTTTGGAGGCTTTCAAAAATTAAAAAGTGTTTATTTAAATTCCTTCAAATTCTCTTCTCTCTCTCTCTCTCTCTCTACAAGTCTGTCTGTATTGTGTGTGTGAGGTGAATGTTTATCAGAATATATGGTGGGATGAGTATTTGTGTATGGTTGTCAATATCTATTTTTATATATATAAGAACATATATATATTAATGGTAGCATGTGGCTGATGTATTGATGATTATTGAGGATGCATCTGTTGATGATGATTATGATGATGATGATGATGATGATGATGATAGATTGATAGATTGATAGAATGATGATGATGATGATAGGATGATGTTTCTGATGATGATAGATTGATAGACTGATGATGTTGACGATGATGATAGATTGATAGAATGATGATGATGGATTGATAGAATGATGATGGATTTGATGGATTGATAGAATGATGATGGATTTGATGGATTGATAGAATGATGATGATGGATTGATAGAATGATGATGATGATGATGATGATAGATTGATAGAATGATGATGATGGATTGATAGTATGATGATGTTGATGATGTTGGTGATGATGATGATATGATGATGATGATGATGATGATAGATTGATAGAATGATGATGATGGATTGATAGTATGATGATGTTGATGATGTTGGTGATGATGATGATGATGATGATGATGATGATGATGATGATGATGATGATGATAGAATAATGATGATGATGATGATGATGGATTAATAGAATGTTGATGATGATGATGCTAGGATGATGATAGATTGGTGATGATGTTGTTGATGATGATGATGTATTAAGATGATAATGGTGTATTACTATTGATGATGATTGACAAGGCTGATGATGATATTCAGTCACGATGAGGATGATGATGATGAAAGATATGACGATGCAAGAGACAAACCATGCAAATGGGAATTGTATGTATGTGGGTGTATGTGTGTTTATGTATTTATGTAATAAAAATGTCTTTAAAAATAAACAAATTATAAAAAAAAATATAAAAAAAAATGGCCAATTTTCCACCAAATAGTGCACAGCGGACGATATTCACGCATTTTATTACAAAAAAGGCGGGGGTTTTGTCTCTCTTTGTAATGCCATATCTCCGAGTTCCCATTTAGAAAGTGACCTTATTTTTAAATTTTGTCTGAAAAGGGTGAAAAAGGTGATGTACTTACATGTAAATAATGGTTTGTAAACATGCGATTTTTGTCATTTGAATACAGGCAGTGTTCTCCCCAAGATGTTTTTGCAGCATGGCACCATGCTCCTATAATTTCTTGCCATGCTACTATCCTAGATCTTCTCTGCTATATATTCATAGTAAATCTAAAGGGAACATGCTGCTTTGATTTTACATAGAGTGCTGCTTTAACAGAAGTATTGAAATACCATGCTTCTTTCAAAACATTCTGGGCAGAACACTGACGGGTAGTATCAAAGCAGAAAAATATGCCTTGACTCAGGGTTTCTCATGTAGGTTTACTCCTAATCCATCTGACAGATTACAAAAGGGTTTCCTGGGAAACTCCGAGTGATACATAGGGGCATACCTCCTGTTGAACAACTTTCTATATACTTTGTAGGATCAAAACATGGGGTAATTTTCAGCAGTTAGCCAAAGTCTTTCCACTTCCTTCTTGAAAGATATATTCATTATTATCATACACTTGGTCAGTACCTCTGGATAACAGGTGTATGAGGGAATTAGTTAGACCCTAAATAATACTTCTAATTGAGTTGATCCTTATAAACACCCTTTTGTGGTTTATATCTATATATATATGAAGTGGTAAAAGAATTTCTTGGTACTTCCCTAGTACTTATACCTCCTTAGTACTTCCCTAGTACTTTTACCTCCTTGGTACTTCCCTAGTACTTATACCTCCTTAGGACTTCCCTAGGACTTATACCTCTTTAGTACCTCCCTAGTACTTATACCTCCTTAGTCCCTCCCTAGTACTTTTACCTCCTTAGTACTTCCCTAGTCCTTATTCCTCCTTAGTTCCTCCCTAGTACTTATACCTCCCTAGTACTTATTCCTCCTTGGTACTTCCCTAGTACTTATACCTCCTTAGTACTGCCCTAGTACTTTTACCTCCTTAGTACTTCCTTAGTACTTCCCTAGTACTTATACCTCCTTAGTTCCTCCCTAGTACTTATACCTCCCTAGTACTTATACCGCCTTGGTACTTCCCTAGTACTTATACCTCCTTAGTACCTCCATAGTACTTTTACCTCCTTAGTACCTCCCTAGTACTTATACCCCCTTAGTACCTCCCTAGTACTTATACCTCCTTAGTCCCTCCCTAGTACTTTTACCTCCTTAGTACTTCCCTAGTACTTTTACCTCCTTATTACTTCCCTAGTACTTATACCTCCTTAGTACTTGCCTAGTACTTTTACCTCCTTAGTACTTCCCTAGGACTTATACCTCCTTAGTACCTCCCTAGTACTTTTACCTCTTTAGTACTTCCCTAGTACTTATACCTCCTTAGTACTGCCCTAGTACTTTTACCTCCTTAGTACTTCCTTAGTACTTACCTAGTACTTATACCTCCTTAGTACCTCCCTAGTTCTTATACCTCCTTAGTACCTCCCTAGTACTTATCCCTCCTTAGTACCTCCCTAGTACTTATACCTCCCTAGTACCTATACCTCCTTGGTACTTCCCTAGTACTTATACCCCCTTAGTACTTCCCTAGTACTTATACCTCTTCAGTACCTCCCTAGTACTTATACCTCCTTAGTCCCTCCCTAGTACTTTTACCTCCTTAGTACTTCCTTAGTACTTACCTAGTACTTATACCTCCTTAGTACCTCCCTAGTTCTTATACCTCCTTAGTACCTCCCTAGTACTTTTACCTCCTTAGTACTTCCCTAGTCCTTTTACCTCCTTAGTACTTCCCTAGTACTTTTACCTCCTTATTACTTCCCTAGTACTTATACCTCCTTAGTACTTCCCTAGTACTTTTACCTCCTTATTACTTCCCTAGTACTTATACCTCCTTAGTACTTTCCTAGTACTTTTACCTCCTTAGTACTTCCCTAGGACTTATACCTCCTTAGTACCTCCCTAGTACTTATCCCTCCTTAGTACTTCCCTAGTACTTATACCTCTTCAGTACCTCCCTAGTACTTATACCTCCTTAGTCCCTCCCTAGTACTTATACCTCCTTAGTACCTCCCTAGTACTTATGCCACCTTAGTACCTCCCTAGTACTTATACCTCCTTAGTACCTCCCTAGTACTTATACCTCCCTAGTACTTATACCTCCTTGGTACTTCCCTAGTACTTATACCTCCTTAGTACTTCCCTAGTACTTATACCTCTTTAGTACCTCCCTAGTACTTATACCTCCTTAGTACCTCCCTAGTACTTATACCTCCTTAGAGATTCATCAGGGGAACTGTTTATTTATGTTGACAGGACAACAACAGAGCACAGAAAGTGATGACGTCATGATACATTATGATACATATATTCTCCCAATACTTTACAGAACCACAGAACCAAATCCTTGTGAGTTCCTCTTTACTGCTTCCTTACCTAGTAATCTGTGTTTCCCTGATACAGGGCTGCGGCCATGACACTGAGGACAGTGTTACTATCCCTCCAGGCGTTACTATCAGCAGCAGAACCTGACGATCCACAGGATGCAGTGGTAGCCAGACAGTACAAAGAGGCTAATGATATCTTTAAAAAGACTGCTTCTCATTGGACGAATAAATATGCAGGAGGTATAATACACCACTTTTATATAATCAACATGTAAAAACTTGTCCTGTACTTGCAATTATTATAATCCTACTACTGTCATTCCATCTGTCTGTCTTTCCTTCCATCCATCAGTCTCTCAGCGATTGTTATCTCTCTAAAAGTTGTATTCATGGTAAAACATTTACCGAACTTAGTGGAATTGTCAAGAAATCACAAACAAGGTCAAGGACTCTATAACAATAAATGGAATGTATTTGTCATTACTCTAGAAGGCTCATGATATATCGCGATTTAGTTCATGTTTGCTCATAAAAGTTTAACCCGCGCTATCGAGCATACAGATGTACCGGAAAGGATGTTGTATGTGGCCTCAGTAGTGCCACTGCTCTAGTGCTCTACAGCCGTCATGTTAGAGTTTGGATAATGCAGAGTTAACAAAATCTGAATTTGACCTATTTACACAAGAGTCCACTATGTGTGTTCGCAAACAGCACCTCTTGTACAAGTGTAGATTTCAAATTTCTTGGGTCAAAAGCAGGTGCTCCTTTAACGAGGTGATCTCTTAATACAGGTTCAGTTCACAATGAAATCACTTCAAAGGGAAACGTTAAAAGTGGTCTTGTAACACGGGTGCTCTCTTAACGAGGTGGTCTCTCAATACAGATGATTATTTAATGGAGGTGTTTGCTTGAGTAGGATAAACCGTATCAATAAATATATCTCTTTTTGTTTCAGGCCCAAATTGTGATAAAGATTATGAAGATAAAGTAACACAATTACAAAGTATGGGATTTGATGAAGTAAGTAACGTCTGTTTTATGTCGCGAAATATTATGATATAGCAGTAATCCGTCTGTCCATCAATAAATGTATTTTGTCAAAATGTCTTTCAATTCAATTTTGACCTATTTTCTTGAAACTTGGAAGGTGTTTCATTTCCACAACATGTAGTCATGCATTCATATTTGGAATTAGATTTAGTGCTTTTTTAAAGGGTATTGTCCATTGTTTTATTTTTTGTGG